CTTTTAAGGGTGCCCCGAGACACAAATGCACTTAGCGGTGCAAATACCTGTTGCCAGCCTTGGCCATTTTCAAAGGACCTAGAGCCAAGCTGCAGAAATGTGGCTAAGCAGGCCCCAAAGCCAGTTTCTGAGCGACCACAGTGTGGACCCACGCAGACATGACCACTAGTTTGGTCAGCAGAGGAGAGAAAGCCCGGCCTGCCACACCTCTAAGTAAAGCAGCAATGAGATGCAATTAAGCAAAGCAACAAGGCCTGAAAGGAGACATTAGAAGGGAAGAGCATGCATGAAATCATCCAAATACACTGCATCATCACTCGAGCTTAAAATATGAATATTGGCAATTGATGTCACTAAATGCATGGGATGTTATTTTGCTCTAACCGATATCTTTTTGCTAAGATGCTTAGATACGTAGTTTGTAAAAACAAAGCAGCCCTGTCAGAGAAGACCATAAAACTAAGGTAAAGAAGAAACAGGCCAGTGCTGAACTCATTCCACAATGGGGAAAGAAAGGAGATTAAAAAATACAAATACCCTCCCTTTTATTTCAAAGAAGCATAAGAAATGAGGGCTGGAAGGGACATCTTGTCCAGCCCCCTGCCCAAAGCAGGACCAGCCCCAACCGCATCACCCCAGCCAGGGCTTTGTCCAGCCAGGTCTTCAAAACCTCCAAGGATGGAGACTAACCTGTCCCGGTGCTGCACCACCCTCCAGGCGAGGAAGTGGTTTTCCTAATATCCACCCTCAACCCCGCACCCGGACAGGGTCTCTTCTCCAGCCCAGCTCCCTCCGCTGCTCCTCGAGGGTGCAAATCCCACCCGGCACCTTCCAAGTCCCAAGAAACCCGTCCCAAAAGTTTCAGTGCCAATCAAACCCATTTCTCAGCCCCGTTAGACGCGGGCATCTCCGCATGGGGCGGAGGCTGGAGGGAGATGGGGAGACCCCCGTGTGCCGGGGGGCTGCCCTAGAGCCGGGAGACTTTGGGGTCCACCCCGAGGAGCCCGCAGCGCCCGGGGGGCTTTGCAAGGGGGCTGCTCCGACCCCCAGCCAGGGGCAGATGCTGCC